GTGTGTGTGTGTGTCTGTATGTGCGTGTTTGTGTATATGTTTGTGTTTTTGTGTGTGTGTTTCTATTCTTTTTCTTGCAGGAGGGACGGGGAGGGAAATTTATTTTTAATGAATAAGAAAAGGGGATTTTGCTGGGGGAGGAGCTGCAAGAAGGGGTTGGTGACTTATTTTTTTCAGGGAGTTTCTATTCTAGGAAAAGCGGTTTGGGGGATGAGAGTGTAAGTGACTTTGTTGATGTTGCCTTTTTCCGAGGGGGAAGAGAATGCTGGAGTAGGAGTGAGCATTTCACACGTCGGATGTTCAACTTCATCTATAAATAGATTTCTAGGGATCGGAGCTGGGTTTGGTTGACATATCACTGGTCACTTGACAACACTGAAATAAGGTTGTACTAAAAATCTGTTTGTCTGTCTGTCTGTCTGTTTCATTAGACATTAAAAGATACACACCCAATGCATCAAAGCACAAACGCACACACACACAGACACACACACATACGCACTCTCTCTCTCACACACACGCACGCACGCGCGCACACACACACACACACACACACACACACACACACACACACACACATCCACACGCGTCTGTTCTGGATAAATCCCCAGGTGATGGCATCTTTAAACCACAGACATCGGCGGTGAAAGTTTGATTCTTCTTCTATCAATAAGTGTGATCAACAGCCACAGTAAATATCTTTTGTGTATGTGTGCTTATGTCAAGGTTACGGACATATATTATATACCTATAATTGACACAATTATTGTACGTTAAACAGGCCAGCATGCACAAAATGTGTCATTCTGTAAGCTGTCAAACTTCTTATTCCATTGCGAAGTGCCCTGAGCAATCCCGGATTGGGCGCTGTAGAAGTGTTTTTTATTCCTTACTCTTATTCCTATTCTTATCTTTTTTTTCTTATTCTTATTCTCATTCTTATTTTTTTTCTTATCGTAATATTTATTATCATTTTCATTCTTATTCTTATCTTTATTCTTATTCTTATGCTCAGGTCTATTCTTATTCTTATTTTTATCCTCAACATTAAAAGTAATAGGGAAAGAGCCATCTTCATTAAAGATTATTACAGCACACTTGGCAGCGTAGACACTGGTCAACAAACGTTCACAAGAAACTATGACGACCACTCTGACACGAACAAACTACTCACCCGGTTTTTATGAAATTCGCCCAAGCCGTCATAACGGCTGTAGCTAAGCAGAACCTTTGCTCTGTCTCTGCCTCTGTACCGTTGCTTCCCAACTCAGCCTGAAAACCAAACTCGTAAGGCAGAATTGCCCCGTGCGGGTTGCCGTGGAACCATTTCATCCAACCAGCGTCCCTCACGCTCGTTTTGTGCTCTAATACAAACTCGTAGAGGAAAGTTCCAGTCATGTTGGGGTTGGGGGTGCTGCTATTGCTCGCTAAAAGTGTTCCCTGCTCTTCGTTGGTTTGTGCGACTTGGGTTGGGAGAAGAAACGAAACGTGTCGTCTTTCAGCATGTCGTTTGGCTACTGATAAAGATGGGATTTTATAGACAATGTCGGTGAACAGATTCAGCACATCGTATGTTAGCGAGCACTGGCTGTCATTCTTGCCCCAGTCTACATAGTGATCCTGTATGGCCTTGACAGTCCCAGCACTGTACTCCTTCCCGGCTGTGGAGAGGTATGTTTCTACCCACGACGAAAATTCGTCGATTTTTAGACAATTTTGCTTTCCTGACACTATTTCGCTCTTGTTCAAGTTTTTCTTTACAGTGAGACGTTTCTTTTGTTCCGCTCTGTATATTACTTCGCCATCGTCCCCTGCCGTGCCCACGAGGAAGTGCTTGGAACTGAAATAGTCCGGGACTTTCAAATTCATTTCTCCAATCCCCGAGTCATTCACGATCTTAACGTCTAGTTGTATAAAATGGTTATCTACAGTTGGTCGGAAGTTGTACGTCATTGGTTTACGTTCTGGGAAGTTTATGTCAGTCAAGGTACTCGAATTGAGTGTCATCAAACAGGATCTGACACTACTGCTATTTGAGGGGTTAGGGCATCCCAAGTACTCAGCAAATGCAATTGCATCGGGAAGGCCTTTCTCCGAGATTGTCCCAGGGAAGACGGGAAATCCACTCTGGGCGATGACCCTAGAGAACAGATCTCTATTTCCCGGATACAGGGCTTGGAGTATGGCGCTATGACTGCCCACCGAATGTCCGCCGATAGTCACCCTGGCAGGATCACCACCAAACAAATAAATATACCTGGACACCCACAGAATAGCCGTTTGCTGGTCCCTTAGGGCTAAGTTAGAAGGTATTTCTGAGTCATCGGTCGTCATGAGACCGAAGGCGCCCAAACGATAATTGATTGTAACAACAATGATGTCACCAACGGCAACCAGACTTGTTGGGTCAAAATCTTGCCCGGCTCCCTTGTAGAAACCACCGCCATGGATATAAATATAGACGGGAAGGTTGGCTTTTCCCTGTAGATTGGTGGTTAGAACAGTCTTATTCTCGTTATAGATGAGATCTTCATCGTTATTCGTTGACCGGCGCACTCGTGAACGTGACTGTGGTTTTGGAGGATTATCTTTGACGGTGTTTTTGGGACCTAACGCTTTGTTGGGTGGTGCTTTGGCGTTTGAACCATTATCTGGCGTTGTTGTGGGTACAGTTGCCTGATTTTGTTCAGAAAGATTAGGTGTTGAGTGTTTTGGACCAGTTTGTTTAAGTTTGGTTGGTTTTGGAGTTGTGGATTTTGGAGAAGTGGGTTTGGGAGTAGTGGGTTTGGGAGTAGTTGATTTTGGAGTAGTGGACTTTGGAATAGTTGGTTTTGGAGTTGTGGGTTTTGGAGTTGTAGTTTTAGGAGTAGTGGGTTTTAGTGTGGTGGGTTCTAGAGTAGTGGATTCTGGAGTAGTGGGTTCTGGAGTAGTGGGTTCTGGAGTAGTGGGTTCTGGAGTAGTGGGTTTTGGAGTAGTGGGTTTTGGAATTGTGGGTTTTGGAGTTGTAGTTTTAGGAGTAGTGGGTTTTAGTGTGGTGGGTTCTGGAGTAGTGGATTCTGGAGTAGTGGGTTTTGGAGTAGTGGATTTTGGAATAGTTGGTTTTGGAATTGTGGGTTTTGGAGTTGTAGTTTGAGGAGTAGTGGGTTTTAGTGTGGTGGGTTCTGGAGTAGTGGATTCTGGAGTAGTGGGTTTTGGAGTAGTGGATTTTGGAATAGTTGGTTTTGGAGTTTTGGGTTTTGGAGTTGTAGTTTTACGAGTAGTGGGTTTTAGTGTGGTGGGTTCTAGAGTATTCGGCTGGACAGTAGTTGTTGCCTGTTCGGTATCAACTGGCACAGATACCGGTACATAGATGTTCAGAAACAAACAATCCTCACTCATCTCCTCCCTCGACCGTGTCTTACTAGTACCTTGCATGCAGACTGAAGCAAATCCTAGTGCTTTTGTAATATGGTCACTAGGAGGGCAAAACAGTTCAGGGATTTGGAATCTTGTTTTGTTGCTCATTTGCTTGGCGTATCGAACACCGAGAAATTTGGCAACAGTGTAACTTTGTTCGTTGAATGTTACAGTTTCCTGACAGCCCTCGAACACAGGGCAACTCACGGCTAAAGTTAGATGTAAGAGTAACACACATAACGTGAAAGGAAGAAGCCAGAGGACAGAGCTTCGTTCTTGATTCATGTCGTCCCACCTGTGGAACGAACGATGAAAAATAGTGCAAACATGCTATTTCGTTTCTGTCATAGTCGTCGTCGTCGTCGTCGTCATCATCATCATCATCATCATCATCATCATCATCATCATCATCATCATCATCATCATCATCATCATCATCATCACCATTTTTGAAAATTACCACCAGCACCATAACAATTTAAAAAAAATCAGTAACAACAACAACAACAACAGCAACAACAACCGCAACAACAACAGCAGCAGCACCACCACCACCATCACCACCAGCAACAACAAAAAACAGCAACAACAACAGCAACAACAGCAGCAACAACAACAACAACAACAACAACAACAACACCAACGGCAACAGAAACAGAAACAGAAACAATATTGTGACCCAGTCTGTCCATTGTGGAGCGAGGAGCCCCAATTTGGGACACTGGCGACATAGATGACCCGCTACGAAGGTCAGGCGGTTGCACCTTTTTGGGGAGGATTCAGGGAGTTGGACTGCCTCACCCGCTACCCAAGAAAAGCAGTGGCCCTGGAGAGGAGCACCCTCTTCGGGGCTCCAAGCAATTCGGAAGGATAGGCTACCACACACACGGTCACAGCATTACTACTACTACTACTACTACTACTACTACTACTACTACTACTACTACTACTACTACTACTACTACTACTACTACTACTACTATATACCATTTGTATAGCTCGTAACCCCGTTCTACAGCAAGCTCTATGCATTTTACAACAATAACAACAACAACAAAAATAACAACACCAACAACAACAACTATAACAACAACAACAGCAACAACAGCAACAACAAAAATAATAACAATAAACAACAATTTCATCACCACAATAAAAGCAACAACAACAACAACAAGGACACAAATAACTACCCCCCTCCTCAAAAAAGGATAAAAAGAAAAAAAAGGATAAAAAGAAAAAAAAGGAAGAAAGAACCTAGCATCTGCGTTTGTCGCGAACGCGATTTTTGGCATTTTTGGGTCCGCGAATCGCGGCCGCGATTTTTGCATAAGTTTTCAAAAAAGACAAAACAACAAAGCTACTTCATAACATATTAGACATGTATTTTGATGTCCATGTGTATCTATTTTCATGCAGAGAATATAAGTACATTACATTACCTACTGTTTATATTGCTGTCTGTCTTTTAATTTTCCCTCTTTGTTGTGTTTTAATTTGTTGGTGAGTTAATTTTTCTAAAAATTGTTCTGATGATTCGATTTTCTTTTTTTGCGTTTTTACAGCGTAATGTCATTTAATTTAATGCTGTTCCCACCCTTTTAAAAATATAAATGTGTTATGTTAGAGCGTGTCTCCTCCAAAACCGAAAACTGACACTGGCAAACCCCAATTGTGTGTGATTCCGTAAATTTACATATGGTATCCTGCAAGCCTAATTTTTCTTGAATTACACACGTTTAGGGTTAAAACAGCCAATCTTCAGATAGGTGGGCACGCGCCCTAATTAGTTAATTTTTGTGGTTATTTATACGTGCTGTTCTAATTTTGATTTCATTCTATTGCGAAACCTTTATTTTCAACCTTTTTACCCTCTTGGTGACTACAATTAATGATGTTCTGGATGATCAGAACAGAGCTCAAGAAATTCTTGTGCTATATATTGTTACCTCTATCAACATATTGCTGTATTACGTCGTTACAGAGAGTTGAAAGCTTGAAAATTAATGGCAACTTTTTGGACAACTTTTTGCCACGTTTTGTGGCAGCTTTTGGCAACTTTTGGCAACTTTTGGACAAAAAAATAGCAACAAACGCAGTTGCTAGAAGAACGAAAGAATCAAACTGCCATCACAGCATGGTAGCTTATTTGATTAGCCTGAGCATGGGCAGTCTAGCCAGTTGTACCTGCGTTATCATTTCCCCGAATGCATGTCTGCACCTCATCCCTTTGTTTAACTGATTGTCTGCTAGTCTGCTCGTCTGTTTCTGAGGCAACACGACAGACAGACAGACAGACAGACAGACAGACAGACAGACAGACAGACAGACAGACAGACAGACAGACACAGACAGGCTGACACAGGCAGGCAGACAGACAGACAGATAGACAGACAAACAGACAGGAAGGCAGACAGACAGGAAGGCAGACAGACAGACAAACAGACAGACAGACAGACCGACAGACAGACAGACAGACCGATGGATAGACAGACAGACCGATGGATAGACAGACTGAGAGAAAATGAGACGGACAGAGATCTTTTTCTGTCTAGACATATCAAAAATGTATTATAATATCTATCTATCTATACACACATTTACACACATAATTTACACACACACACACACACACACACACACACACACACACACACACACACACATACACACACACACACACACGCACACACATGTTCAGTTGTGTTAATACAAAACCTTCAGCCGCAGCTGAAATGACGACTTGTTCTTTCCACCCCCCCAAAAAAAACCACCCCCGAACAAATAACAAAAGAAAAACAACAACAACAACAACAACAACAACAACAAAACAAAAACAAAAATAAAAAAATAAGCGTAGAAGACTGACAGAAAAAGCAATATTAGTTTTATCCACATGTATTACCCTGCTGTTTCCTCAATGCAAACAATCCCAATTCAGGCCAGCCAGCTACAGCACTACTGTCCGCTTCAGCACCAAGTAACTTCAATAACCTGGTGTCATCCCAGTTATAATATTTGTCTCATATCTTGGACAGTTTTTTCAGTCCTAAATCAACCAATCCCTCCACACCCCTACCCAACCTCTCCCGACGCTACACAGGAGGCGTCCTCTCCGCCCCCCACCCCCACCCTCGACCCTTACTTTGACCTCCTTTTTGCTTCTTGTATCTTGTTCTTGTTCTCATACCGCGTCCTTATAAACACTGGTTTCAGTAGTTGGCAAGGGGCAAGAAACATTTCAACATTTTTATTGTGTTATCTGGTTACTGGATATCAGCTCAATGGCTGGGTGGACAGACTTCAAATTAACCCTTTCTGGGCCATTCGCCGATACATCGCAACCTTTTTATCACAACTTAAGGGGGGGGGGGGGGGTTGGGGGCTACACCCCTAAAGTCCCGAATCGGCTCAAAATTATGGTCTTTTTAGCTTCCTCAGCCGCCTCTCCTACAACTATTTCATCGCATAAGAACCCCCAGAAATCTCATTTCTTCCCATACCAGGCATGTTTGTCACCTCCATTTCCTCATAAAGTCAATATTTTATTTTTCTTTCTCGGCCATTTTCTCAAAACGCGACTTTTTCTCAATATATATATACTTTTTTGAATATCTCCGCCATTTTTCATCCAATCTTTATGACATTTTCACAGAATGAAGATACTAAAAATTTCATTGTTGAATTTTCGATACATGGAATAGATCTAGATTTTTGTTGGTGGTGTCTTGAGTGTGGATTTTCACGGATTTTTTTTACAAATTTGAATACTACCTCAGGTAAAAATTCTTTTAAAATGTTCTAATTCGTTTAGGAATAACACAACTGAGAAATATTTAGATCTAATGTTTGTGAACACGCATGCAAAAATACCCCCAAAACAATCAATTTCCATGAGCAATAAGTGCGGTATTCATTACGTAAGACATGTCAACAAAATCCAATATGATCGCCGTATCCATGGAAACGAAACTTTTTTTTCTCTCAAATTTGATAGCGTATTTTAAGACTCCTTACTATGCTTGTTATATGTGTGATATTTGGTAAAATTCGGTTCACTTATAAGCGAGATAGCCTTTACGTGTAGACCCCTCCCCCCCTCCCCTTTAATACTATAACGAAGTGCTGATAGATCGTGTTATTGTACTGAAAGAGTTTCAAAAATGGAGAAAAAAAAAATCAGCCTCGTTTTCTGTTCCCGGGGAATGTCAGAATTCTGTTGCTTTGTTTTACCTACTCACTCCAGTTTCTTTGTGAATGATTGTCGGAAACGAATAAGATCGCTAACATGACACCCGAAAAAAGGACATGGGACAATTAAAAAAAAAAAAAAAGCTGACACGAGAATAGGTTTAAAGGAAAGTGCCTCCAGCGCAGTCACCAGCCTTTTGAGAGTCTATTTTTATTTATCCTTTAACACAATCTGTAAATTGAACCCCCACCTCCCTCAAAACAAAACCTCCCAAAACAACACCACCCCCACCGAAACAAACCCCACGACAAATATATTGATTTACTACCTCGGCCCCCTTTCGTTGAAAGGAATGATCGGTGCATTAACATCAACTGAAAGTCATTGGCCTACTATATTTACACTCTACTGAAATGAAGCAATAAATCCTGAGAGATGCAAAAAATTAGAAAGTTTAGATATTGCACACGGCTATTGAACGGGAACCTCACTTGTAGTGTAGTAGAGGAACGACAAAAATACTGGAAGAAAGGAAAAAATTGCAAAAGAAACGAAAAATATTGGGATGTACATAGAATTAGGTCACTTTCAACATACTAAAAATGTACATTCACGCTCAGTAAGTGATGGGCAATTTGTGCAGGTCAAACCCATGTAACCTCCACAGGAAATGGAGCATTCCAGTCCGTGGCGACGACACGTGCGATTTGTGGACTTACAATCTGTTCTACAGCTGCTCTTAATCACCTTCAACAGAGAATGTGGGGCAGGTGGCATATTTGTCGTGCATGGCTCTAAGTGATCATCGTGCAGCTGCCATCCTCATTGTGTCTTGAATATTACCTGCACTAGAAGATACACCCGAAGACTGTGGTACTTGGCTGCAGTACTGGTTGATGGCAAGCATTGGATTTGGACGGATGTGGCACATGATGCAACCTTTACATAGAACCTCTTGTAGCGCAAGGGTGTCTGCAGCAGTGCCATTGTAGAGACTGACTAAAGCTCTTTCTCCAGCATCATTGATGTCTTCCTGAGTCTTTCCTGCTGTGCAAAAAATATGAGCTCGCTTTCAAAAATGAGCATCTGTCAATTTTCTCATTGGAACCATTTTTCCCAGCCCCAAAAGTCTCGAAGTTAAATAACAGCCTTTGACAGCATGAAGAAAATGACACTATTCTACGCCTAGTTTCTCCTACAGGTTCTGGATGTTTAAACTTTTGTGATTGTCGCCAGCTTTTCTGTCTGATCTGAAGATAATAGGCCTGCTTCTGAGCTGTGCATGGTGACAAAGGAGCGCGAGCAAGTCTGTATCTTTTCCAATGACAGCAACAGGGTGGGCTGCTGCATACCCCGTGGCGGTTTTTACTATGAGTGTGTCGGCATCTCCAGCAGCGTGAAGACAGTGGCAACCAAGAGCCATCAGAGTGACTCTAAGGAGGTGAACGAACTCCTGTTTGTTTCTTGGATTTGAAAGGAAGTGTTCCTTGCTTGAGGTCAATGGCATTTCTTTGGGGAAGACAACAGCTGGTCCGACCACACCTGCAGAACGCCTGAGGAAAGCGGCATCTTTTACTGATGGGCCCGACTCATACCCATCAAACTCCACGATGGGCTTAGAATATTTCCTGTTAACATATTCAGCATACCTTTTACAAATTACGGAAAGGGGCTCTTTCTTCCTCCAGGGGAATTTGGGAAGACGTGAACCCCCGTCCAATATGGTCACCATGTCCATGTACTCATCTTTCGATGGTGGATCATCTTTGAAGAGGTCTCTCATTGAATCAGCCAGCTTGGAAATGTGTGCCTCTCTCTTCAATCTTGATAGTTCAAAGAGAGATGGTGGTGGAGTCGTCAGTTCATACTTCAACACAGATGGGAGATAATAATTGTCAACGTTTGCTGCTGTAATCATCCGCTGAAAGAGAAATTGAGGATTGACTTTGTATGTTTGCACCCTCCATTTTGGCAGTGATTTTGGTGTCCATGCTAACAACTTGGTCTTTTCTTTTGAAGGTGGAGTCCTTCACAGGTTTGTTCTGCATGGTCTGCAAAATAACCTTGCCAACATCTTTTGCAGTGTCGGCATTAACTGTGTAATGAGCTGTCACCCCTGTGCATATATTCCGTAATGTCTGATCACTGGCAAAGGGGTTGCGATCTTTTAGGAAACTAAGGAGCAGTATCATATCTTTATCATCTCTCGTTTGTCTGGCATCACTGACTTCAATAATATGTTGTTGACTTGTATTTAATTCTGTACCAGTAACCCGCTACATTTCATTACATATTACATCAGCACAAGCTGGCATGGACATGAGCCACTGTGTTCTCTGTGTATCTCCCATGCCTCTACCACGCGTCAGTCCCCCTGCAGACTTTGGGTTTTTCATTAAGACTTGCTCAATCACGAGATCAGTACTCAGTCCAGCCCAGAAGCGATCACTTCGACCCAGAACGTGAAAGCCAAACGGGAAGGCATTGAAAACTGATGGGTGCTGTTCTTCAAGCTGTCTCATCTTCTAAAGGTAGATATAGACCGACTTGGTGTACTGTGAGTGCCCGGCAGCAGCAAGGAAGGGGAGCCTGTCTTGCAAGGATTGTAAATGTAACCACCAGTCACCTGAACCTTCGGCTTTTAAGGAAGCGTTTCAAGATGTCAATCATATCCATGTACTGAAGCCAGAGGCGAAAAATAAAAGAGACCCCCCCCCCCAAAAAAAAGGAAAAATACAGCTTAAAAAAAATAAATAAAAAAATACCGCTTTAAAAAAAAAAAAGGGAGACACACAGGTTTGAACCCTGGTTAAAAAGTTTTTGCATCTAGTCAAAAAAAGTCTGACGCCTTTACCACTAGGCAAGAACGCCATACGTCATTTTACGTCATGTTAACATTTATATACAGTAGGCCTACATAAATCTATGCACTTAATAAAATTGAACGTTCTTTCATTCAACTTCTGTCAGTATACACACCGAGTTTGTTTGTTTGTTTGTTTAGTCTACCGGGTAGAAGAGCTCTAATGCAACAATTATAGATCATAGATAAAGTACTTTACTTATTTGTATCAGTTTCCTTTCACTTTTCTTCCAAAATAGAGTTGTTTTCAAATGGTGCGGCCATCGCGATCATTCCGCGGACGATGTGTGCACACTGCAAATCGAGCCTCCGCTAGAGGAAACGGAGTTCACGTTTTCAATGAAAATTTAAAAACTTTCCCATTCGTACATTAATGTACATTTTGAGTATTTTAGATACGATGATTTTCTCTATCAACTGCATTTCATTGTGTTTTTTTTGCTTTTATTTCCTTGCGATTTCTCAAATCTGCCAGACTATTGTTTACAATGGCGTCTTAGAAGACAGACTTTCCCAAGATTAGATCCAAACGAAACTAATGAAAAACTGAAAATTAAACTACAGTGACTGCAGGCACCTCAATAGAACTGTGCACCCTTTAAATGATTCCGAACCACCATTAATTTGGTCAAATTCGAAAGTTATGTTGTTCGGAAGTTTTAGGCGGCGAAAGTGACGGACTTTCACAATAAATATGATAATATGTCTCGATGATACCATGATTAGCGGCATCAAGACGAAGTATTCGCTCAACATAAAACAGTCGCTGTCCCCGGGTATTCCGGCCTAGCCATGACTTACACCAGAGAAAAAGGAAACCCTTGCTTATAGTGCAGTCAAAAATGCATGGGGCTACGTGTTGTCAAATATCTCCTTAACTGTCGAACATACATTTTCCACATTTGCACAATGACTTATATCAATTTGTCTTAACAGGTGAATATTGTTTCAA